TTTAATATTAAAAATATATATATATTATAATATTATACTATATAATAAAAGATGCCAATTATTTAACTCTTTTTGTAGATTACTAAAACCAACTTTTTTTTAACAAACAATTCAACTTTTTTTAATATTTTACTAAACTAATAGGCTTTAAATTTCTAATTAAACTTTTTCTTTACAACTTTATATTCTAAAAATAATATAAATTTATTTATATTTAATCTTTTAATATAACAAACTTTTTTAGCTTTTAATAAAATTATTTTTATATATTTATACTCTTTTTAACTTTCTCAATTTATATTTAATTATACTTTTTTATTTTCAAGTAAACTAAGTATACTAAACTTTTTGCTTTTAACTATACTAATTTTACCAAATGCTAATTATTATATTATATACAAACTAACATATTTAAAAAATACACTTTCTCAATTTTTATTAAATTTTACCAACAAATTTATTTTTTTATTAAACAAAAATATTCAGCTTACTAAGATAATTATTTTAATATAAATTTTATTTTTAATAAGCCAAAACTCATCAAGTTATTTATATTTCTCTTTAAACTTTTATTTAAACTTTTTTCTAAAATTCTATTAGTCAACTTCGGAAAATTTACTAGATTGTTCTGAAAATTTTACTTTTTTACCAACTTTAAAAATATTTAAATACCTAATATTTTCTTAAATTTTCTTAAAAGAATCTAAAAAATTTATTGGCTTTTTAGAAAATTTATTGATATTTTCAAAAAACTCAATTTTTTTACTCAATTTGTATTCTTTTTACCTGTTTTTTTTTGCTACTTATATCATAAAATACTTTACTTATATCATAAACTATCTAAAAAGTCTTTTTAATATCTTTGTTCTAAACTATTTATAACTTCAAACATTTTTTTATTATTATGATTATTTATAATTCTATAATAAATTCACAAACTACAACTTAACAAGATCACTTTTTAGACTAGTTCAAAAGCTACTCTATCTTGGAAAACTCTTCTTTATTAATACTTATAATATTTGGAATTCAAAACTTAGATTTCTTAAAACTAATTCTTAAAGATTTCTATTTTAGTTCAATTATTAATTTTATAACAATTAATAAGCCAGTTGTAAAAAGCAATTTTAACTTATTAATTCAAACTATAGCAACTAAAAAACCTAAATTTATTACAGATACAATTTTAAACAAAAACTTACATATTATCAAAACAGTCAAAATACCTTTTAAAATACTTCTTAGTACAACAAAAAACTGACTTATCAAATTTATTTATACTCTTTTTTATAAAAAACTACAAACAACCTTTTTTTTTTTTTAATTCAATAACGTCAGAATAGAAACTTTATTACATTTTTAGAAAACAGAAGTTCTAAGATTTAAAGATTTCTAACTATATTTGTGCTACAAAATTGGCACCCAATGTAACATTACACCCCCTATTTCCTATAAATGCTATCTGCTAATTATTTCAAATTAGGTTTAAGCTAGGATAGATTGGAGGGAACCTAACAAACAACTCTTTAATTTATACTATTTTATTTCTTTTTACTTAATTAAAAAATGATTTTAAATTACTATAAACCTTATCAAACTTTATCTATTTTTGTATAACAAATACTAAATTAAATATTCTTTCATAATTTACAACTTAAGCACATCTACTTAAAAACTTAAATATATATAAATTATATTTTAAACATTCTGAAAAGCAATATTTCTATTTTCAAATTTATATACTTTCAAATTTTATATTAACATTACTTTAAATATTATCTTTTAAGAATTCACTACAAATTGTCATATTTTATCTTTTTACTTAATTAAATTACAATTTGATACTTGGTTTCAAAAATTTTTTACATATTACAAAAAACAATTTAGTAATATTAATAAACAAAAAGTTTATAACTATATCAAATACTAAAAAAACAACAGTAACTAACTATGAATACAAGTAGCTAATTCTTCAAAAACCTAAATTATTAACTATTCAATTTATTCAAAATTAAACAAACTATATTACTAAAACAGAAATATATTATATATATATTTGTACCAACTTGAAAAAGTATAAAATTCTTAATCTAAAACAATTTATAATATTTATAATTTAATTTTTTATTATTTTAAACAATCTTTTAATATTATACTTATCAGGTGTGGTGACTTAGTGAAGTGAATAAGTTGTCATACTTCTAAGTAGTAGGTTGTAAGTTCAAAACCTACCGATGGCAAAATTTGGATAATCATCTATGTAATATATAGATGGTATTACAGCGATAGCATTCTGTTAATCAGTTGGGATAGGATACCTGTAACTATGGTTGCACCAGCATGACTGGCAGGTTTGGAGCATCTGTGTAATCTGTTAGACTAAGGAATGCAAACTGGTACCGAGTAGTACAAACCTGAAAATAAGTTCTCGAGCTGTGTAAATCTGTAGAACTAGGAAGCTGGAGTCCACTTAAAAATTCTGAATAGAGAAATGACACAGATCTTTAACAGTACTACTGTAAAGACTAGATCTAGAAAATGGATACCAATATGAAGAATTCAGATGAGCAAGAACCTCAGATGAGGAGTACTACCAACCAGGCTGCCGGATTTCAGACTAGAGGAAAAAGATATTGGGCTGGCCTTAATATACCAAGAACAGGTCATAGTCCTTCTGGGCTATCTGGATTAGGAGTCTGAGATTCAAAGCAGAGGTATATTAAAAGTACTAGGGATATGCTGTAAAGTCAGTACTAAGGTCTGGGTGAACTTTGTAAGGATAACCCATGTTAGTGTTCTAAAAGTGGGTAGATAGTTAACAATGAAGGGCCCCTTGTGTCTTACTGGCAGGTGATATACTCTGAAATATGTAACAGTCTAGGAACCAGTACAAAAAGAGTAGATACCATACTGCTCAGACAGTATACCGAGTAGGTATATATAGGAGATTAGTTGGAGATTCCAATATAACAGGACAGATGATCAAAGGTTTTAAATAGATAATCTTCTAGTAGGTTATAGGTATGACATCTAGTGTAGAACCTTAGGACGGACTACTTAAATAGGCAACCAAATGTTGCACATATGACTAGCTGTACTCTCATCTCTGTAAAAATAGTTGTAATAGCTAATCTAATATAAAGTCAATAAAGTATCACCACAAGTATGGCCTTAACAAAAAAAAAAAAAAATATTATACTTATCTAACAATATATATATCTACCTTTAAATCCACCTTAGCAAAAATTCTATACACTTTTACTTTTTAAAGATATTTATAAACTAGCTAACCAATCTGAACAAAACTTTATCTAACTAAACAATATATTTATTAATTCAAAACATATATTCTATTTCTTTTACTACTATCTTAAAACTTACTTTAAATCTACAACAATAAACAATAAAATTACTAATCTTAATCTTAAAGAAGCATTAAATAAAATTTTCTTTTAAATAAGTGATTTACAAATTTTAACCAAAATCATTGCCTACTATAATATCATCTAAATCTCTAAACCAACTATTACTTAACTAAAAAAAAACCTTAACAAGTCATATTTTAATCAAGAAAACCAATATATTATTAAAAAACTTAATATTATTATATTTACAATATTAGAAACTAACTTTATTTGCATTTTCAATATATCTAAAATTATTAATAAACTTAATGATAACCTTTTTTTCTAATTATATTTATATATTTTTGTTAATTTTCTTTTATCTATTTACTTATCTAATTAATATTACTTGTTTTAACTATATTCTTATAACTTTGTTAAGTTTTTTTATTTATTTGCTTATTTAATTAACATTACTTTTTATCTTTTTAATTATACTTTATTTTTTATTTAATTTATTTTATTTTTGTTTTCTTTTTTTTATAATGATGTAATTAATTTCTGATAATATAAATAGTTAGTAAAATCTATGAGTAACTTACTAATATGTACTAAAGTAATGAACATTATTTGAAAAATTTTAACTAATCTAAGTAAGTCTTAACTATTCTAGTAGATTTAAGTTGCAAATAAATATATCTAAGCTCTTATTCTTGCATATAATATTTTTATTACTTAAAGTTATAGTTTTATAATCATCAGTTTAATAGTTAATTCTAACTGCAAGTATTGATTTTAACCATAGCCTATATAGAACTTCTTTTGTATCCAGTAACTTTATATAGTTACTACTTAATAACTACAAATAAAGATAGGAGTAAGACTTTACCTTAATACTAAAAAAAAAAGTTTATTATTAAACTATATAAGTAAATATATAACAAAATCATGCTTAAAGTATATAAGATTCTTTATAGCAAAAAGAGATATGTCAAAAAATTTTTTTTAAAAAAATTCAATATCTTAAAGAATTAGATTGATTAGAATAAAATTAGCATAAAAATAAAATTTCTAATTTTTTGACCTATCCTTTTTTTTGCTGTGAAAGGTCTTATATATACTTTATATACTCTAAATATAATTTTGCTATATACTTACCTCTATATTTACCTAATCTAAAACTTTAACTCTATATAATTCAAATTAATACAAACATTAATATAGATGTTATATGACACCAGTATTATAATATAATTTTAATTTTTAAAATTTTTATAAATAAGATCACAAATTAATTTAAATATTTGCTTTTTCTAAACTATATTTTTATCCAATTTGGATTCTTTTTACTGATTCTTTTACTTAGTCCCAATTTATAACTAATTTAAGCTCTTTATACTCAGATCAGTGAATATTTAAATAAAATAGTGAAATTTCGACAATATATTTAACAAATTTGCGAATAAGTTAACGTGGCCAGAGCGTACGTAAGATTTACAATACACATGGGATCCGAGCTAACCCAAATTCACAAAATTTTGTGTATATAAAGTTTAAATTAATGGCTGCTTTCTATTGGTCGATTAACAAATTATGTAAAACTCTAGATTATACAAGATACACTTTTGACTTTTATCCATTATGTTCACTCCAAAAATGCTTGGCTTCATTTCTCCCAAGCTAGCTCCTTCGTATATTCCCAAATTTAGAAGTGCAATTCTTAGAAACGAATTTGGAAGCGTCTTCGCTTCTCGGTTTGGAGCTTCATTTAGAGAATATAGTTGTATGTATAACACTTTCAGTGTCTTTTATTTTTATTAATTAAAGGATGAACGAACGTGAAATTTTGTAGCCAAAAAGGTCAAAAAGTACACAAAAGAACATGAATGGATTCATGTTGAACGGGACTTAGGAACTATTGGTATCACACATTATGCGCAAAATGCGCTTGGTGATGTAGTTTTTGTCGAAGTACCTGAAGTTGGTACTGTTGTTGAACAGTCTGGTAAATATTTAAAATTTTAATTTAATCAGATTAAAAATGAATTTCTCACATACTTTTTTTTTAGGAACTTGTGGCGCTTTAGAAAGTGTTAAAGCGGCCAGTGATATTTATGCTCCTGTAAGTGGAAAAATTATTGAAGTTAATCAAAACTTAGAAAAATCTCCTGGGTTAATAAACAAAAGTCCTGAAGCTGATGGTATTTAATTTTTGTATGGATTTATTCATTTAATTACTTTTCGATTTATATGTTGATATTTTTTGTTTTCAATAACAAAAAGGTTGGTTATGTAAAATTCAGCTTTCAAAGCTATCTGAATTGGATAATTTAATGGAAGAGCATGAATATCATAAGCATTGTGAAGAATCAGAATCGCACTAGATTTTCAAAAAAGTGGACATTTATTAAACTTATTAAGAAAGTTTTTTTCAACTTTTTTTTGTTAAACTTTTGTAAATGCATTTAAATAAATATTTATATATGTATATACATAAATAAATAGAATATTTAATACGTAGTTATTTATATTAAATTTATATCGATAGATAATAATATTTTATAGACCGTTGTTAATTTTCACCCTAGGTGATATTGTCGTGCTTGAAGTCAAGCATCTGTTTTAAGTTGTAATTTCAAGCGCCCGAAGTTGAAATGCCTAAAATTACTAACTAACGCGAGCAAAAGATCTAGTGTTCCGCAGACAAGGTAGAATATTGACCCTAGCTGCCAGCATCGCCACCAAAATTCTACGGACACGTATTTTTGTGGCACAAACCAATCAGATTTCAAGATCAGGTGTAATGTATCACACAATCAGGAAAATTCAAAACAAACGTTTTTCTTGGATGGTTTTATTAATATGCATATCTAACTATATAGTAAGCATTAACGTTAAATGAATTTAAGATTTTTTGATGTTATAAAAAAAATTGTCTGTAAAATTTTGGTTATTTAGAATTAGATATTTGTTTAATTGGCTGATATAAATTAATTGTTTAGGTAACTTATTTATATGTTTTGAAGTATTTTTTTATTTATTTATTATTATTTTTTTTAAGATGAGGTTTTGCTTATATTTTTATTAGTAAATTAAAATAGTTACATATATATATACTATGGCAGATGTTAATATTTACAGTTAGAGTTAACTATTAAACTGCTAATCATATAATTATTACTATTTGTACAAGACAAGTAAATTAAAAATTACATACAAAAATAAAACTCAAATTAATTTATCTATGATTTAAACTTATTTAAATTTGAATGTTTAGTATATAGTTAGTAATATGCTATATTTGATTTATAAAATAGATTAATATTAATTTTGTAAATTGTTTAACTAATAAAAAAGCATATGTTAAAGTAAGTATATAACTAATTAAAAAGTTTATAAAGATATAAGTAAGTATAATCTTTTTAAAAATATATATATCTAATAGTTAGTTTAAATAATATTATAAATTTATTAATAAATTAAAATAAAAGTTTGTTTTATTACTTTTTTTAGTTAAAAGAATAAATATTATATATTTTCTGTAATTGCTTATATAATTGCTTATTAATATTAAAAAAATATTAATAATTATTTGAAAATTAGTTTTGTATATAATGTTAAAGTTTTGAATAGTTAATATAAAAGATTTTAAAATAAGCTCTTTATGAATAAGTTTAGAATAAAATATAGTATAAAGAATTAAAAATTAGATAATAAAGAATTTTGTTAATAAGATATAGTGATTATAGTTAAATAGTTAGGTTGTTATTTCTTAAATAACAGATTTAATGTTCAAATTCTATTTATAACAAAATTTGAAAATTATATCTGTATTATGACAAACTATTTTTTAATAATCAATTAAATTAGTGTATCTATAACCTTAAATTATATTATCTCAAATAAAAGCTTAAGATATCTATACAATATGCAATATTACATATATATAAAAAAATATTACTAACTGATATTGCATAAGGCTTTAGTACAAATTCATAATAAGACTATTGAGTGCAGTAAATTAAGAAACTGAAAAGTTAAAAGTTTACTTAAAAATTTTTAAACAAAGAGATAACATGAACTTTTGATAATATAATTAAACCAATAGAAGTTTATAAAACATCTTTAAAAAAAGATAAATAAATAAACTAAATAACAAAATGTATAGAGAAATATATAATCAACTAGACTATTAGAATTACTGAAGAAAATATATATATATATATATCATACTAAGCTATTTGGATTGAAAGTTAAGAAAGTTTTGTTAGTTTTGAGTAGCAGTTAGTAAGAGATAATGAAGAAAACATTATGATAATAGATACTGAAGTTCTAGTAAACTTTACAAATATAGAAATAGTATAATGTAGTAATTAAATAGGTAATCTCTATGACTAAAAATGTTAGAAAACTATAGCATATTGCATAAAACTAGATTAGCTATATGTAAGATATAGAAGGTTCTAATAAGATTTCTGTTAAGAATAAAGTAGTTTTAAGAGTTTTGACTATATCAAATATTTTGAATAGGTGTAATTCTAAAAATATAACTGTAAAATAAGATAAAATTGTATATACAGAGAGTTTAAATAGGCAAGATACATATTTGGCTTGCAGATATAACATTTAGTATAGAATCTGTATAGTAATATATAAGTAAACTATTTAAATTAGATATCAAAAGAGGAATGACAATCATAGTGTAGTGGTTGGGTTGTTATCTCCTAAGTGACAAATTTAGTATTCAAATTCCACCTATGATGAAATTTGAAAAATTATATCTGTGTTACAGCAAACTATCTTTTAACAATTAGTTGGATTATGTATTTATAACCTTAAGTTATATTATCTCAAATGAAAGCTTAAGACATCTATGCAGTGTAATATTACATGTATATAGAAGAATATATAACCAGTATTGCATAAGGCTTTGGTGCAAACTCATGATAAAACCACTAGATGCAATAAACTAAAAAATCAAAAAGTCAAAAGTTTACTTGGAAATTTCTAAGTAAAGATGTAATATGAACTTTTTATAATATAGTCAAACTAATAGAAGTCTATAAAATATCATCAAAGAAATAGGTAGATAAACCAGATGACAAGATGTATAGAAGAGCATATAACCAACAAGGCTACTAGAATTGCTAAAAGAAAAAGGATATATAAGTATATAACACCAGATTATCTGAATTGAAAGTTAAGAAAATTCTATCAATCCTGAGTATTAGTTAGTAGAAGATGATGAAGAATACATTACAATGATAGATACTGAAGTTCTAGTGAACTTTACAAAAATAGAAATAGTATAACATAATAGTTAAATAGATAATCTCTATAACTGCAAATATTAGGCAACTATAACAAGTTACATAAAACTAGATTAGCTGTATATGGAATATGAAAGGTTCTAATAAGTTTTTTATTGAAAATAAACTAGTCCTAAAAGGCCTTAAATGCATCAAGTACTTTGGATAGGTGTAGCCTTAAAAATGTTACTATGGAACATAATGGACTACATATTTAAAGGTTTAAATAGGCAAAACCTATAGTTGGCTTGCAGGTATAGCACCTAGTATAGAACCTATATAATAATGTATAGACAAACTACTTAAATTAGGCATTGAAAGTGCATATATGGCTAGTTGTAACCTCTAATATAAGGGAGCCCCTAAAGGCATCTGTGTTCAAATATATAAATAAAAATATCAATTCCTATAGGCAGCAATTTTAACTAAAAAAAAAAAAAAAATTAGGTGCCAAAAGTATATATATGACTAGTTGTAATCTCTTATATATAAATATTCCTGAAGTTATTTGTGTTCAAAAGAACTTAAATAAAAATTTTAACTTTTAAAGACAAGAAATTTAATTTAAAAAAAAATTTTGTTAATTAAATTATGTTTTTGCTAAATATTATAATAAAATTTACTAAAAACTAGCAAGCTGTAATAATTTTTAATAGCATAAGTGCTGAGTAGAAGATCTTTTATTTAAAGAAAAATAAAATAAATAAAAATAACTAAGAATAAGAAATAAATATTTAAAAGTAAAATTTAAATTTAATAGCCTTCTAGATACTATAAGAATTTTTATGATAGACTGGTTGTAGGAAAAATTTAACTTATTGTTCTTTTTGTATTGATCAGGCTTAACAAATAGTTTACTCTTTACAAGAATTACCTGTGCTAGACTTAGAAGTATCCTAAAACACTAGAGGAGGCAATTAGTAACAAATAATCAGGCTGTTCTAAGCTATATACATCAGCAAAATTATAGATACGAAATATTTCGAAAGAAT